TAATTTTTACGATTAAATAACAGATTAGATAATAGCAAACAATTTATTGTAGAAATATATAAAATTTTATTTATGTCCGCAATTGTTTTTGTATTACTTGTTTAATAAAAATAAAATATTAATTCATGTTCTCTCTCTCTCTCTCTCTCTCTCTCTCTCTCTCTCGTCGAAAGCACTTATAATTTGTTATTTTTTGAGGAAATCAACAAAAATTTTGTGGATAAAACACGATTAATACTACAGTTTAATGGACTCAAAAAAATATATCGAAAATAATAAAACTACAGTCAAAACCAATTAATTTGATTAAAAACACAATACACTTACAGAATATTCTGCAACACTTTTTGACACAAAATTATGGCTTAACATTGCGAGTACAGTGTGTTTACACCAAACACCATACGATACAATACACACGGTGTGTATACCTGTATATAATCATTAATATTTGTGTTGACACTATATATCTTATATGATGTGAAAAACTTAATTAAGAATAAAAGCCTTTTATCTACTCTTACATCACAATATAAACACAAACAGACATACGCTATGCTATGCCTGTCGGCACCGGTATGTGTCGTGTGTTTTATTAACTGCTAGAATATTGGATGGATTTTGGCGATGGATAGGCTGGCATTTGTCTGACTACTGAGCCCTTTGTGTGTCGACACAAACACGAGTTGTTTATTATAATTGCAGTGAATTATGGCTCAGAAAACGGGTGTTTTGTACAGAATTTCAATGTTTGCCACAAAATTCATGCGAATTATGCGCTCAAAGCCTGTGGTCTTGAAGATTGTTAACAAACTTTTCAAGAATTGAAAATTAAATAAGTCTTCAAAAATACTTATGTTTTTATACTATTGTGTGTTTATAAATATTATCATCTACACTGTTATATTGGTTATATTGTTACTTATTCTATAAGTACAATATTCTTATTAAATACAAATTATTTTTAAAAATATTACCCAAAAGTGAATTCAATTTATTATCAAAAGATTTACTAAGATTAAATTGTATTGCTAAAATGTAGCCACAATTATGCAAAATTATTTTTAAATTATTCAGTTTATTTAAATGTTTTAATAAAATGATAAAATCAATTAACTAGTTCATATGTCTGGATCGATACCGCTATTAGTCTATAAGGTTCTGTGTATTATTATTAATAACAAAGGAAATTGTAATTTAATTATTATTAATGCAATCATATCACCAAACAGTAAGTTATTACTTTTTGTGTAATATTCTGTACAATATATATATTCTGTGAATTAGTTTTCTATATAAAAATAGGTATTTCGCCCACAGTTTCACATTAACTAACATTAAATGTCAAATGAATTAATGATAAGAATTAGGAGACTAACAGCAATTGACGTCAGGAGAGAAATACATTAAACATTACTATAATGAACCCCTTTATTGTAAAAATTGTTTAAAATAGCATTTTTCAGCCTAATGAATTGTCTAATTAGCAAAATAATACTGATTTAAGTAAATATTTTTTAAATATTTAATAAAATAAAATCACTTAGCTTACTTATTAGATAAAAATATTATATCCCTGCTAATATATTACTGAAAATTAATCAAATATAATATTCACAATTAATTCAATTAGGAACTATAATAATAATAATATTGCATAATCTTTATTTCAAAGCACACATACAATAATCAAATAATATTATACTGTATTTAAATGTGAATCACAAAGAATATTCTGTACTCACACTAAACAGGTATTTGTGGTGACTATGATAGCTCGGACTGAAAGCCCTCCCATCGAGCCCCCCATTACCGACAAAAAGCCAGACAAACCACTAAAACAAATCAAAAACTACCGCTTAATGTCTCGAAAAGACAGAATAAAATTCGTGATCCGATGCCTATTGTGTATAATATGTATATTCGGGCTGTCTTTCCACGCCTCGAAACTGGTGTCCCAATACGTGTGGGGACAGACCATCGTGAACGTCAAAGTGGACAAGATCAAGTACAACAAAATACCCGGGGTCACCATATGCTACCCGCGGTTCCTGTCCATGAGACGACTGTCCAAATTGAACCGGGAGTTGGAGACCGACTTCATTGAGTACACGAATATTCTGAAGTCAGTGAACGACACGGACTTCGCGAACGAGACTCTGAGGCAGAAAATACTGGATATCTATTGGGAAAAGTTCATGAACTCTAACATACCGTATGAGGTGCCGGTGCACGACCTCTTCGACAACTACACCATACCGTTCCGGTTCCCGAAGCGATCGCTCTATCAGTTTGAGAAATACAAAGACTATGTCGGCATTTACGACGACTACGACACGGAGTACGCCATCGAGATCGAGGCCAAGGGAACGGTACGCGTGGGCAGTCAGAAGTCGATCGTACGGCTCCGGGACTACGCACCTGTTGAATCCCTGGCCATGAGCTTCCGGGGCGATCAGTACAAGTGCTACACGTTTTTCAGTGAGTTGGAGGAAAAGTGGCGTAAAATACGGCTTAACCTCAACTACATTGCCATTGAGATACACAACGACTACCACTGGTTTCCGCCTCATAT